AAGAGAGGTGGTGCAGGCTCCTACCCTGGGGGTTTTTAAGATGAGGTTAGATGAACACCTTGCTGGGGTCGTTTGACCCCAGCACTCTTTCCTGGCATGGCAGGGGGGCGGACTAGTTGATCTGCTAAGGTCCCTTCCGACCCTAGAAACTATGAAACTATGAAATTGGATGCTCATCTTGCTGGGATCCTATGACCCCAGCTGACTTGCTGCCCTTTGGGCGGGGAGCTGGACTCGATCTTCCGAGGTCCCTTCCAGCCCTAATGTCTATGAAATCTATGAAAATACTGGACAAATGCAATAAGAGTGTAGATAATCCACCAAGAGATAAAAGGATTGCATTGACTGAATTAATTGCTTGATATGAATTGCCCCTTCAAATCCTATCAGTGAACCATTACAAAGATTCATGGTTTCTGTTTTACTCAAATAATAGCAGAAATGGTCAACAGACTTAATTACTGACAAAAATTACTTACCTGTGTTGCAGTAGTTTCTCTTGGATGCCTGTGGGTTTGATATTCCAGCACCTTTATTTTTCCAACCCTTTTTGTTTTAAAGGCAAACTGCCAGTCTGTAAATTACTTGCATGTAGTTAAAATCCACTGTCAGACAAGCATTGTTGCATTTGGAAATGCCAACACTAAAAATATAAATTCTTATTCCAGGGACCACCTTAAATTATGAGGTGGCTTTATCATAAGATGATTCACAGAAATTAACCTTTAATGACAAGACTAAGCACAGAAAACTGTACTGCTTTGAGCATTTGGGAAGTAAGCCAGCTCTTCTACTCTAATCAATATTCATTTTGTCAATGACGATGGATTTTCCCTTTATCTGAGGAGGATGACAGATTGTTTGGCATTTTAAATAGCTTATGTTTATTTTTTGGGTTCAGTTTATGGAACAGGAAATTTTAAGCTGACAAGCAATTTGTAAGTCCATAAATTAATGTTGGCAAACATCAGGATATTACCACCAGGAAGAGGGAGAGAGGTGAAGCTAATGGACTGGGACTTGAATCTTAATTATATTACTATGTAGCCACTGAATTAAAGTAAATTTTGATTTCTCTGTGTCTTGGTTTCCTTCGATATAAAATAGGAACAAAAATCTCTTGCAATCTCATGAGGTCTCGTGATACTTCATTCAATAATATTTATTAGGTACTCTGGCTCTAGGGTGAGATGTACCATAGGTATGTGAAAATGTTTAAAGATGATAGACTGTGCCCTGCTTTCAGAAGAAGTCTTCCATTTCCTCTCAATCCAGCTGTCTGCTATTGCGCACTTGCCATCCGTATAAAAAAAACTGCCACATGATCCAAAAATCCATCAACTCATGTTGCATGATGATGCTTTAAAAGCTATTTAGCTTGCTATATAGTCCCCATAGAATCCAGAGCTACAGCATTTCCTTAATTCAAACTTTAAATGAAACCCAGGAACTGGTTTAAGAAACAACTGTCCCTTCCTGTTACCTTTTATTAATGGCTTTTAGTGGTGGTTTTTATTTTATTTTTTTTCCTTTCTGATTCTAGTATCCAATGGGATTACCACTAGATGAGTAACTGTTAATGTCAATCTTGTTTTCTACAAGTACAAAAAAAATCTGATTCTTTACCAGAAAGGTTTTAAAAGCTTTCTGCTGCTCTTCCTGTAAATATAGAGAACTATGCTGGGAATACACCTAATAAAAGCTTAGCACTCACATACTTATGAAGGTTACTGAATGCTACTTGGACTATATTTTAAGTACATTATTTTAACACTCCTGTCTTTCTTTATCACTGAATATAGGCCCTTCCCCAACTTTTTCCATGCTGTGACGCCTAGATATTTATTCCTTTAGAG